TGCAAAATTCCCACGGGATCGGGAGTTAGCGGGAAAAAACATTTGTATGAAAAATCTAAACCGCTTAAGTTAGACACTTGAAATTTGGCATGCAGGTACTTTAGTAAACTTAAAGCTTAGTTACAACAGGATATTGCGAAATTCCCACGGGAACGGGAGTTAGCGGGAAAAAAAATTGTATGAAAAAATCTAAACTGCGTAAGATAGATGAAGGGGGTAAAACCATCGGGATCCACGCGTACGAAGTCGTGGGCGGCCGCTAGTTTGACATAAAAAGTTCTAAATGCTACATCATCATCATTTTAGCCATAGGATGTCCATTGCTGAACATAGGCCTCCCGCAATAATTTCCACAACGGCCGGTTGGTGGCAGCCTGCATTCAGCGCCTTCCTGCTACCTTTATGAGGTCGTCGGTCCACCTTATGGGTCCTATCATTTTGTCATTGATTCCCCAAAAGTATCAGAACATCAGTTTTAATTATGACATTAATCTAATCTTCGGCTGAAAATCAAACTTATATTAACCTTTAAAGTTCTTAACACCTACAGCTGAAGTCTTAACACCTAGACTTCAGCTGTTCCACGATAATTAATATAGACTCATTAAGTCAGCTTAGATTGGCTTTTATCTATACTAATGTGGAATTAGCATAAATTATAGACACCCTAGGTTGGTACTAATCACTCGTGCGCATGTAATTATTGAATTACACTTTTTTACATTTATCGAAGTCATAAAATAGGTGGACTATTTGTAACTAGCTGTGCCCGCGACTTCGTACGCGTGAAAACCTGTTTTCGCAACATTTTTCATTGTTGCTTCGCTCCTATTAATCGTAGCGTGATGTTCTAAAGCCTTCCTCAATAAATGGGCTATCTAACACTGAAAGAATTTTTCAAATCGAACCAGTAGTTCCGGAGATTAGCGCGTTCCAGTAAACAAACAAACGAACTCTTCAGTTCAGATTGATATCGGACATCAAATTCTTTACGTAGGCCCTTTTCAATCATTTATACGCGTTCTAAATAGAGCTTGCCCCACCACCATGTTGGAACGACATATTGGCTGGTGCTGAGAAGAAGTGTAGAAGTCATTGGGGGAGGCCTATGTTCAGCAGTGGACGTCCTATGGCTGAAATGATGATGATGATGAGAAGAAGTTGCAGAAGAAACTCAGTCACCTTTTGCAGCAGTAATTAGTAATTAATATCAACAGTATTTATTCTGTGCTTATTAGTGTCTTTTAAATTATAGGGGGTCGTACTCCTGCAATGGAAATAAAAAAAAACTTATATTAAGTTACCTAAGAAATACTTATGATGGCCATCTGATCATACTTAATACTACTCCAGGAAGCGGATTAGAATCCCATGTGTGATAAATGCTTTTCTTTCTTTCTTTCTTTCTTTCAAATGTTTCTCTAATAAGTACGAATATTGTTATTATGATTTTTATCACCTAGTTCAAATATGCATATTCCGTTTGTTCGTTCGTTCATTTCAGCCGAAAGACGTCCACTGCTGGACAAAGGCCTCCCCCAAGGATTTCCACAAAGACCGGTCCTGCGCCGCTTGCATCCAGGTACTTCCCGCGACCTTCACCAGATCGTCGGTCCACCTAGTGGGAGGCCTGCCCACGCTACGTCTTCCAGCTCGTGGTCGCCACTCAAGAACTTTCCTGCCCCAGCGGCCGTCAGCTCTTCGAGCTATGTGCCCCGCCCACTGCATATAATGCATATTTACCTTTACTCTAATCTTTAAAAATACCTGGTTATGTGAGTTATTCTTCCGTTGAACTGTGTTAATCATAAAACAAAGCATTCCCATACATCTGCTCATACATAACCATACAAAAACAATACATCCCACGATCGTTCTGAACTCTATATTAATAGCTGTGTTGTATCGATTAGCGATTCCGACTTAATACGGTATTAACGTTGACAGGTGGAGTAGTGGTTAGTCTAGGTCCGGGTTCAAGTACCGGGAGGGTCAGTTTTACAAGATTAATTTTAAATTATTTTTGCTGAAAAATATTTCATAATAAGCAAATTATTCTAATACCTTTTAAATACTCGAGTAGTTCACGTTTACACCTTGAACTAAGAAACCGGGTAAAAAAATATTCTTTATTTGTACTAAATCGATCGAGTTAAATTAATTGAAGTCTGACTTTATTTTTGAAGTCATGTTTTTTATAAGAGACTTAAGACTGGGTAACTTATTTTATACCACAGTATTCTATTCTATGTCAAAAAGACTAGCTGTTAGCTATACATTATTGATAGGGTAAAAGCTCCAGTTATCGTCTTAGCCTCAATAACCTCACTGACACCTTCCTTGACGTCAGCGGTGACATTTATTACATGTCAGCATATTTGTGTATTAATAAGTGTAAATGTAGTTTTGCACTTATAAATGAATGCAGGTGCAGTCATCAGTTAATCGCCTCATAAAAACTGACGTGCAATATAGCGAATAACTTAAATATATGTGAAATGTCTTAACTAATTACTTTAAGTTTGTTGTATCTACCTTTGCCCTTCTGTCTTAGATATTTAGTTCATTGCGTTTTGACACAGAAACTCTAAAATAGACGACTGACTTAAAAGCTTAATAAAGGTAGATTGAATCTGTAAAAATAACACAATAAATCTTTAAGACATTTTTTTTATGATTGGGAATACCTTCACCAAATTAACACTTTGAAACATAGTTACAACTCTTGTTAAGATTAAGCAATAAAAATGTAAAGTAAGTATATCAAGACCATACAGTTTTACTCCACCAACAAATCGATACAAATCAGGTATGATTAGGTTTTAGGTAGGATTTGAACCCACGGAGTTTCCTTTTTTTCCTAACTTTTTACTAAGTGCTTTAAAAATGTAGTCTTACATTTTAACCTCCTAAATAAAGTAACAATATAGGTATGTCATTTTTAGACGTCTTGAAAAATAAGATTTAATCAATGTCAACCTTTGCTTTGTCTCTACGGAACATTTTAAATTTTCAAAAAGCGAATCCGTCGAGTTTCTTAACTCAAAAGTACACATTTATTCATAAAAACACACAATAAGGCTGCATTATTACCAAAGTAAGATAACGGCGTAGGAAGTTGAAATGTGTCGTTACAAAAGTTTGGGGGGTCATCGACCCCAGTGGCGCCATCTGTTCGAGTTAAGTCACACTTCCTTATCAATTAGATGTTACGCCACTAGGCTGAGATAATGCGATGGCCTAAATTATAAAATTTTTCGTCTAATAATTACAGTTTAGTAATTTACACTAAATTATTTATCTACTTCCGCACTACTTACACAGATTCAAACTACAATATTTTTTTAATTTTTTTCAATAAAAAGTCATGATTAAAATGCTTAAAACTACCTTTATAATGTTACTTTAATCCTAAACCTAAAAAACAATCTCAAGCTAAGAACTATTTAGGAAAAAAGACAACTATTTGTACTAAATTATAATTATATCTTTGCATAGAAAAATAGTTTTTTGGAGAATATTTTAGCTTCTTATCCATTATTTTCTTTAAAATAACATCTAAATTTATTTCATTCAAATTGTCGTCTCCTGCCAGACATAACGGAAAATTTAAAAAAAGTGCGATTTCTTCACATTAATTTTCTTATAAGATTTAGTGCGCAGTCAATCTATCAAAATTATATTCATACGAATCAACGCTTCAGCAAATCAAAATAAAATGTGTTACATTTTAATCGTCAATTCACATAAAAATATTTTATATTTTAATAACTATTCTGAAGTATTTATTATTTGTTCTTCATATATAATATTGTTTTCAAGAAATAACATGACATTAAATTCTACAATTAGTAGCACGAAAATAAACCCGATGTTTATTTTCGTGCGTTTTTTAAACAATGTTCTATTTGTTTCAGATTCTTCTTAATCGGTGCATTTACCCTTAAAAGAAAATTCATGCTACCTACTCTCAAGAAATTACACCGGTAAGTTTTTTTTGTTATGATTACCTTTCAAAAGAATTCACTGTATTATAATATTTTTTCACAATCACAATAAAATTGGTTTGCTCGTAGAGGTAGAGCGCACTATCGAACATTATTAAAATTATTATTTTTTTGCTACTCAAAGAAAAAAAAATACATTTTGGTATTAACAACCACTGACTCTTCACTTCACATTTTATCACAAATTAAAATAAACTCGTGTAATCCCTAATTTATCAGGTACTTAACGACATACATTTAATCTTCTTTTTTCGATTAAATCTTGTAAAAACGCGCAAAGAATCCACGGGGCCGGCGGTTACACCGGAATTAGGGTAATTGCACCGATAATTGACACTGATCAATCGGTGCGGATTGTTCGAGTGATCCGACGCATCCCTGCGACAAAACGGTACGATTTCTTGCCAATTAAACTGGTACACAGAACACTAATTGGTCACGTGAATTGATTCATTAGACGCGACAAGATGAGTATTTGCGATTTAATGCAACAGTTCTTAGTGAGAGTATTTTTGTGTTGTTATAACACTGGAAATCGCGGGACACTTGCCGTAATTTGTAGTAAGTGACGTGTGCATCTAAGGTAAAATGATTTCATCTCGGACAAATAAATTTAAGGCACCATTTTTTATGTCCAATTTCAAGTAATTTTTATTCGTTTATTCAGCAGGCTAAAGTATTTTTTTTTGGTTAAAGATTTGGTTTAAGGTCAAGTTATAATATTACGTTAGATTTTTCTGTGACTCCACCGTCTAACAAAGTGTTATGTTTTAGCAATAGCTTAAAAAAATCTTGGTAAATAATTTAAGGGTGTTAAATATCTGTCAAGTTTATTGGAATTTTGATTCCAATTGGAATTTGATTCATTTTTCCACTTTGTTGTAACCTGAGTAAGTAGTCACAAAACTTTATACTTCTTGCAAAATATCACACTTTTCCTACTAATTGATTGCAGCACAAGAAAACTACACGGGAAATATAAAAAACACTTACTTTTATCGCGATTCAGAAGTTTTGCTTCAATCACAGTGATTTTTCATAGAAGTCCACAAAACACTCAGTCAAAAATTGTCCACAAAACTCGTAAAGTTTTCTTAATTATTTTGTTCAATGCACACACAGCGTCTCAAATTAATAAAACGTTTTTATCATAAAAACGAAACACAGTCAGCTACGCCCAAAAAGAATCTTTGGAGTCCGTGCAAAAACAAAACAAAAACATGACACAAAGTACACAAAACAAGTTCACAAATTAATATTCGATTTTATGGCAAATAAAAAAAATGGTTCACAATAATTATCGAGAGTTCACTTTCCACAATCGATTATCGGATCGGTTTCGATTAGTTATTATTACGTAAGGTGATCCTTGAGTGGAGCGCGTGGTCGCGAGCGCGCGTCGAAGCCGCGACACCCGACTGCAGTGCGATCCTTCGGACGAAACCCCACCAACACTACGCGCATCTGAGGCTCACTCCTTGGCGCGGCCCCGCCCAGTGGGACGCCACTCGGCAGCTAAGATGACCGTCTCCCTCCTTGTCTCTCTCGTGGCGCACCGAACGCGTCGTCCCGCTCCCTCGCGGCGACAGTGGGGCGCGCCAATGGGATCGGTTCGGATCGAGTCGAGACGATGAATCGAGATGTGTACTTAGGTATCACTGCACAAGTCCTTTTGTTGTAGTCGATAATAGGATGCGCTTTTTTTGCGGCGCGATCGACTGCCCGCTCCTTGAGCGGTGGCCTCCGTTTATTTGTTTACATTTACAAGCACTTGCAGCGGCGATACGCTTACCTGAGTTTTTTGCGTAAAAAAAATATTCATAATATCCCATTAGCATTTTTTTGCATGTCATTTTTTTACTTGCACCTCTATTATAATAACAACCAATCATTGATACTTTGCTACTAAGTAGCTTCATGAATCAACTTTGAATAGTAAAAAAATAAATAAAAAAACGCAAAATGAATCTTCAAAAAAGTGCATTAACCGCCCACGTCACCTTGAAACGATCGAACATGCACAAACTCAATGGGAAGACGTAGGGTGATCGTCTCGCAGGGGTGGCTGAACTGTAGGGCGCACCGATGTAGGTCAGTTTTTGTTTCGCGCCACCCGAAATTCGGTTACTGGGTTCGTTCGTGATACCATTGAGGAGTGACGATTATTAGACAATTTACCTTACTTTCTTAGAAAAATATGCAAGAAATGCAAATTAAGCACACATTTTAAACATTTGAATAGTAGTTTGCATTTTACTCAGCTTATTAGACAACTATACATTTTAAATCAACTTTTTTAAAAATACTGATAGGTAGAGACATAAGAGATCTAGAAAATAATATTTTTGTCACTAATTTGGTATTTTTTTTAAAAACAATAATTTTAAAAGTCAACACCAGTCTTGCCACATATTTTTTTCAAAACTGTCAAATATCAGAAAATATTCTCTCACATCTAAACTTACATAACTTTTATTAAACTTACCAAGCCACAATCATCTACCTTCATCTTACAATCATCCAAAACATCCCAACACTCCGCGGAAAACTCAACTCCGTTTCCCAGTTCACATCTACCCACTACTAGATGGCGTTGCACGTCGCTTTTCCCTGATTTTCCGAGCATTTTCCGCGCTACACTCGACAATGGTTCTACTTTTGGTGCGAACCTACAATGTGGTTCGTAACTGAGTCTTTGGACTTAGTAAAGGACGTGTATTTTGAGTTGGGAATGAGGTAAATGTACAGTTTGGCAGTTGTATTGTTCTTTTTTTATTGAATTGACTTAAATAAAAATTAATTTTTAATAGACGCATAGAACATTTGAGAAAATCAGTTACTTAAAAAAGCTTTTGACATTCGAAGAAGACTTGTACTTTTGCCCAGTTTATTGCTAAGGGGTCATCCATAAAGTACGTCACACGTAAAGAGGGGGGGAGGGGATTGACAAAGTGTGACATGGTGTGACAAGGGGTGGGAGGGGTCTAAAGTTTCGTGACATCACATTTCAATTGTTTCAAATATTTGATATAATGTTGATTTCATAAAAAAAGTACTTAATTTAAATGGAAATAAAACTAATTTCGTTACTGCTGTTAATTTAATAATTTTTCGATGTGAAATTGAAAAACATGTGACGTCACACTAGGGAGGGGGGGGTCTCAGAAATGTGACCACCTGTGACAAGGACGGAGGGGGGGGGTCAAAAAATCATGAAATTCGTGACGTACTTTATGGATGGCCCCTAAGCAGACGATATGAATATGCTGGATTTNAATGTTGATTTCATAAAAAAAGTACTTAATTTAAATGGAAATAAAACTAATTTCGTTACTGCTGTTAATTTAATAATTTTTCGATGTGAAATTGAAAAACATGTGACGTCACACTAGGGAGGGGGGGGTCTCAGAAATGTGACCACCTGTGACAAGGACGGAGGGGGGGGGTCAAAAAATCATGAAATTCGTGACGTACTTTATGGATGGCCCCTAAGCAGACGATATGAATATGCTGGATTTTTCTTGACAAGGTATGAAAAAAATTGGTAGAGTTAACGGGAAACATTTAAAATCAGGGAAAACTGATATTCCTATTTTCTATGGGGTATGGATTTCTATGGTGGTATTTTTAATGGAATGGAGGCGTCTATCTTATGCTCGGGTCAGCTAGAAATTAATACTTTTATGTACTTTTTGTAGTTTAATATTAAAAGATAAACGATAAAATTGTTTTTTGCCAGTATTTGTAGATTTATTAATATTAGAATTAGAATGGACAACGTAAATGTCATTCGTTCAATAATGCCTGTGGCTTATGGCTATGCGATAGTCGTTGAAGGTTATTATTTTGGAAAGAAAAAGAATTATGGATATGGAGTCGTGGTGTCAAGTACAAGTTAGTAATTTAGTTTACGGTCGTATAGAATTGTTTAATTATTATTTAGTAGATGTTAATGTGCAATTTGATTTTGTGTTGCATTACCTAATTGTCGTGTCAACTGAACATTATCTTTAGACGCGTAGGTTTAATGTGTTAACACTTTTATTCGGTATATTTTTAAATCAAATGCCTAATTTCGACCCTAAATTGCGTAACCGCAGAATTTATTTAAAAACGTCTAATTTAACCCCTTAATCGCCGCGGCAAATAGTGCGACACAATAATTGCGCGGGAGTCGATCGTGCGAACGCAATTACACGTGCGCGCGCTGGCGGCGAATGNAGCAAACGCACTAAGTCATGGGAGGGGGAATTTTGCTAATTTTTGGTATTTTTTTTGTCATTTCGATAATGCTCCTTAAAAAAATCTTTTTGATTTTGGTTATTTCTTGGAAATACTGGAGGTCAACCAACATATTATCCTAATAGGTACCAGATTCAGATGGATAGGGTGTCTTGCAAAGCTTCTAATTTTTGTACATTTGACCTGTCCTGCTTGTTCAAAAAGAGCGCCTCAGTGATTCTGAAAAAGTCAAGTAGTTCCTCTTGGCACTGCTTCTTAGCACTAGTGCACTCATTATAATAAAACCACAATGTCAAAAAGTTATGTTGAGACATTCCGAATAGCCTGTTTATTTATTTATTTATTTGTTAAATAAAATTCAAGTTACTGGAAAGGCTTCCTACTAGGTGGACCGACGATCTGATAAAGGTCGCGGGAAGAACCTGGATGCTGGCAGCGCAGCTTAGGACCGTTCACTATGGAAAGACTTGGGGGAGGCCTTTGTCCAGCAGTGGCGTCATTTGGCTAAAACGAACGAACGAACTGGATTTTTTTTTACATTATTCAGAATTAACTACCTTAGTTTAGGAAAAATATTAAGATTGAATTTTTGACTAAGTATATTTAACTTCTCTCAAATCACTGGACCGGAGAACCGTTTTATCAAACCTCACTATCAGCTCAATCGCCATCGCTCCTACAATAGACCCACAACAATTACTCCATTCTGTTGGCAAATTTTAATATCTGAACACCGTCATTGAGTAATACTAGATTAATGTTTTCTTTTGCAATTTTTGAGTTTTATAGGAAATCTTAGTTGGACATGGCATTGTTGTAATTACAAGGAACACTGAAGTGGAACTGGTTATGTAACGTAATGTTTGGTTAATGATGACGATTGTTTTTTGTTTGTTTTACGATCGGAGTCCAGTTGGATAGAATTTAATTAGTAAACGAGTAATCAGTGAANAAAAAAAAAGTTAGGGTGTACGTTAAAGGGTTAAGCTGCTGGGTATCTCTATAGACGCGACTCTAAGTTGGAAGAATCATGTTGATACTTTAGTGGGTAAACTGAGTCGATTCTCATATGCGCTGCGCGAACTCAGAAAGGGTACAAACGTAGAGTGTGCACTTACCGCGTATCATAGTCATGCCGCAGCCTGGATAAGGTACGGAGTGGTACTGTGGGGCAACGCTACTAACGTACAAACCGTACTAATTGTTAGTAGTAAATCAAAATATGATGTGGCAACATTTTATTGTCTATGAAAACTTCTATCCATGTCCGGTGTCTTTGATCGAATAAAGTTCTATTCCATTTTGTCAAGCAAGAAACATAGTTTCATTTTAGGTTATGGGCCCAGTCCCGTATTTTCTGGCGGNGGCGAATGCACTAAGTCATGGAAGGGGGAATTTTGCTAATTTTTGGTATGTTTTTTGTCATTTCGATGATGCTTTTTAAAAGCATTTGGTTTTCGTTATTTTAATAGATTCCGATGAATAAGGTGTTATGCAGTACTCCTTTTTTTGTGCCCATGGACTGTCCGGCTGAAGCGTGTAGAGCGCCATGCAGCGATTCTGCCAATATAAACTTGTAACACTGCTTGTTAGCACCAGTACTTGGCACTCTTCTTCTTATATTTCGTCGTGGTCACGTAGAGGCGTTGTTCACATCAGTTGTAGAGGCGGATACAACTCTCCGCACGATCTCCCGCCATATCTCTGTCTGGTGCAGTCACATACGCCGTTTCCCACTGCCGATTTCACTTGGTCAGTCCAGCGCATCTTATGCACTAGTGCACTCATTTTGGTATTAAAAACACAATCCCAAAAATCTATGTTGAGATATTCTGAATAGCGTGTTAAGTATAAAATTCAAGTAACTGGAAAAAATTGTTTGACATCATTCACACTTGCCTTAGTTCAAGAAAAATATTAAGATTTTATTTTTGACTAAGGATATTTAACTTCTCCCAAATCACTGGACCGAAGAACCGTTTTATCAAACCTCACTATCAGCTCAATCGCCATCGCTCCTACAATAGACCCACAACAATTACTCCATTCTGTTGGCAAATTTTAATATCTGAACACCGTCATTGAGTAATACTAGATTAATGTTTTCTTTTGCAATTTTTGAGTTTTATAGGAAATCTTAGTTGGACACGGCTTTGTTGTAATTACAAGGAACACTGAAGTGGAACTGGTTA